GATGGTATATGGAGGGGATTATAATCAATGTAATGAAACAAGTTATATGAATTGTTGAATGTGAAACTGATGATGTGTCCTGTAAACTTTCACTCAATCCACAATAAAAACCTTAAATTAAAAAAAAAAAGAAAGAAAGAAAGAAACATGCAAGCCCAGATGACCTTACTAGTGAATTCTACCCAAACAGTTCAGGAATACACATTCGACATAAATCTTCCAAAGTATTGAAGAGGACTAAATATTTCCCAACTTATTCTATGAAGCCATAATTATCTTGATACCTAAATCCAACAACAAAATTACAAGAAAACTACAGAAAAATATTCCTCTATAGAAAAAAAACAAAAAACACTACAGAGGAAAAAAAGAACAGATGTAAACCCTTTTTTAACAAAATTTTACCAAATAAAATACAGTAATATATAAAAGGCATAGTTTATAAACATGATTGTTGTTGTTAAGTACCGTGGAGTTGGTTCCGACTCATAGTGACCCTGCACAGGGTTTCTGAGGCTGTAAATCTTTATGGGAGCAGAACGCCTCATCTTTCTCCCGCAGACCTGCTGATAGTTTCGAACTGCTGACTTTGCAGTTCACAGCCTGATTCATAACCACTACGCTACCAGGTGGAGGGTTGGTTCTATATTCAAATTCTATCAATGTAATTCACCATACTAATGAACTACAAAAGAAAAATCACACAAACTATGTGAGATATGTAGTACTATATATATCCATTGTCTGGTATACTGGGGGCTCTATAAATACTTGTTGAATGAGTTAACCAAGCCATCACCAAGCAAATAAAAGGAAGGACATGCAGGAGGAGAGTACAGGCCAAGGTTGGTTCAAGTTGATTGTAATGGAAAATTAGAGGGAGTAACAAGATTCCTTCTCAGTCTTGCAAATTACCAAAGAAAGAATTTAACAAAAGCAAAGCAGACTTGGTTTATTTTTGCTGATAAAAACATCAGCTATAAGCTGCCATGATGGAGTGAGTTATCACGGGTTTGACTTACTTCAAGGAGGAATCCCCCACACCAATGCAGCCTCGCAAGCTGAGCTTCCTCAGGAATCCACCGCATCGCTTTGAGATATTTTCTACCACACGACCCTTGAATCAAGGAAGTTGGAAAACAAATATGTTTATCTAAAAGCGAAATAACCTGAAATCTAGAAACTGAATATACAGGCAGACCCTGCTTTACAAATAAACTCCATTTCTAAGACTGTCTTTAAGTCAAATTTGTACATAAATCATAAAGTAACCTTTCTATTCATAGAAATTATTAACAAAATTTCCCAAAGCACTAAAATATCAATAACATAATACAGCAATAATATTTCAATGCATGGTGCAGTGTCGCTCCCTGTCAGTTATTATGAATCATCTGTAGGTACCTTGAATTCTTAATATAAAGGCTTTGGGAGTGGGGGTCAGTTAGTAACTATGCGTTGAAGGTTAAGTCAGACATTTGTAACCCAGGCACTGCCAGAATTTTCCCAAGTGTAGAAGAAAATATTTTATAACATTCCTCCAGTACCTCAATTCTACTCCTAGCATATAAGGGGGTTGCAAGCTTTAAAAAAATATTTTCATCTAAAGCACTGGTGGTAGTGGTGGTTTGCTTTGGAGTCGGTTCCAACTCACAGTGACCCTGCATAGGCTTTTCCGAGGCTATAATCTTTAATGGGGCAGAAAGCCTCATCTTTCTCCAGCAGAAGAGCTAGTAGTTTCAAACTGCTGACCTTGAGGTTAGCAGCCCAACTTGTAACCACTATGCTATCAGAGCTCCTTAACGAAAGCATTAAGTAGTCTAAAACCAAAACAGCAAACTAAAAAGAAAAAAACGCTGTGCATTGCAATGTAAAAAGCTTAGCCCAGGGTGTTAGGTCTCCACTGCACAGGACTCACATCTACTGGTCAACAATGAGGCTCAGCTTTGGGAACACAGGCTACTGAGCAGAGCTCTAAAACAATGCTGCATGAAAAGAGAAATTCTACTTTAGTGAACCATCACCACTCTAAGAGTATGAAAATGGACTGCAAAAGCTTTCCCTCTCCCCAGCAGTCCTCTGTTAAAAACACATATTCTTTGAATAGGGAAGTTTTGCTGGGCACTAGCAAAGATATTGAAGGAAAAAAGAAAATGAACATTAAGCATTTTTACTTTTCAAGGGACAATTTCATTCACAACTATTCATGAAAACTTTGTAAGGCTATATTAACTTCACTGTGAAAATACGGAAATTAAATTGCCCATGGTTGCACTTTTGTGTAAAGCTGAGATCTTAACAGGTTTATCTTATTTCAAAGATGGTGTCCTCTTCACAAAGACTTCTACTTCTTCCACAAGGCAGGAAACATTTAAAAGGGTGATTATATTTATTTCTGAGTCCTGGTGTGGCACTGTGGGTTAATGCACCAGACTGCAAAGCCTTCTGAACTGCAGATTGGTGGTTCAAGCTCACCAGCTGTTCCTCAGAAACCATATACAGGGTTGTTTGGGTTGGAATCGACTCCATGGCACTTAACAACAACATAACATGTTTACTTCTGTTTTTAATACTTTTATCTTCATCTTATAAAAATAAAAATCTTGGCATTGGACTGTGAGTACTCACAATTCAATGCTGTTGTTGTTACTGTTAAGTGGGTTTCCGAGGAGTGGTCAGTGGGTTTGAACTGCCAACTGTGTTGTTAGCAGTCCAGTGCTTATCAGACAGCACCAGGCATTCCCTCTCTCCATATCATCATCTCTGCTCCCATCTCTGGTGTCACTGCTTCTCTGGGTAGGGTCCCGCATTCTACTCTTCTCACTTGATGGTCCCAGGGTCTTCCGCTCTTGGACTGCAAAGTCAACCAATCCCCTTGTTTTGCTACAAAATGTCTACCTTTACATTTCCAACCCTCACAGTCAGTCCTGATAGCAATTATTCACTATTGTGCCACATGAGAGCCATCCCCATCTCCTTTCATCATCCCCACCTAGACAGAATGGATGCTACTCAGTGGAGATTCTACCTTCCTCCACACCCTCTGGATCTAGGCTCCCTCTTGAAAACCTGTAAGCCAGTTACTTCTTATCTTTGTAGCCCCCTATTTTGGGTAGCCAATGTCCAAGTTGCCCATCCTTTTCTACTCTGTGTATCGAGGTGGTGGGAATGATCCTCACTGAAAAGATTTGTTCCCTCTTTAGAGCTAATGCATCCATAGGTGTAGGTCAAGTTCATCAAATTGTATCAGATTACTCTTTTTTTCCTCTTCTTTCTTCTTCTAGTTGAATTCTGATCATCCAGCCATTGAAGCCAGGTTAAGTGGGTATTATCTCCAAATGTGGGTGTTCTTGTGCATATGCCCTCACTTCTTATCCACTGGATGCTTCACTCTCCACTCTCCTCCATGGCTATGTCACTGACTCTGGACCTAGGACTTGCCACACTGCTAGCCAACCAGGTCTCTACCAGGGAGGATGCAAGAATTTTATAGAGCACTTCAAACCACATGATCACAGGAGTGGGTTCACAAGTACCTGTCATCTTACTAACATCTTAATTCAGCTGAAAAGTCCAACTTTAATATGCTAGCACCATTTCTTTATATTGGCTTTAGCACTAATAATTACTTTTGGAGCCCTGATGGCATAGTTGGTGAAGCGTTGGGTGCAGTGTTGGGTTGTTAACTGCAGGGTCAGTGGTTTGAACTCATCAGCCACTCAGTGGGAGAAAGATGAGGCTTTCTGCTCCTATAGAGATCTGCCATCTCAGAAACTCTATACAGTGTCCATATCAGGTGGACCTGACTCAATGGCACACATAATAATTACTTTTGGATGCACAATTTTTAGACAACTGTGAAATACATTTTTGTCATCAGATTCAAAAAGACTGACGTGTAAATCCAAGATAAATATATTTAAGTACAAATAAAACAGCAAGAATATTAAGTCAATGTCTACAAATGGAGCACACAGTGTAATTTCTCCATTTCAAATTGGTCAAATTCATTTAAACCTTTTTTTTTTAACATACATTTTTGCACTACATATTTTACTTTTATTTTTTAAATCACACAGTTTTCTGCTTTGCTTTTTCCAACCAAGTGAAAAAAAGGAATAGATACCTTCCCAACACACAAGTGTGTGTTTTGACAGGGAACTTTACTAATGTTCGCTATGGTGGAAAATACTTGAGTTACACAAGTTAAGACATTTGCATTTTTACTGTATAATATTAAAGTTTGTTGTTGTTAAGTGCCGTGGAGTCGGTTCCGACTCATAGCAACCCTGCACAGGGTTTCTGAGACTGTAAATCTTTACGGGAGCAGAACGCCTATCTTTCTCCCACAAAACAGCTGCTAGTTTCGAACTGCTGACCTTGCGGTTCACAGCCCGATTCGTAACCACTACGCTACCAAAGCTCCTTAATGGCTCTTTATCTAAATTAGCAGACAGTACGTTGTAAGTGTAGACTTTAGAATGAAGGACTTTAGAGAAAGGTAAGATTTAGGATGGCTTTATCAATCCTTTGAAATTATGACTTTTAAATTGATATTTTAAAAAAACTTTGAATCCATTCTGACTCATTATTTCTGACAGTTGTATAAGAATGGTTTTCTATAATATGCGTAACACTTTCCTATCTATTCCTCTATTGATTGATAATTTGTTTGCTTCCATGTCTTTGCTTCTACGATCAGCTGTATCACAATCATTTTTGTTTTTTAAAGCTTTTATGGTGAATTGAGTGATAGTCTACAAGGGAAGACATTGGTTTTGCACTCAACCTATCAAATTTTGTTTCACTGCAATAATTACAATCCCCTCCATGCATCATCATCCAACAATATTTGCTTTTTTTTTTTTTTTTTACTATACACAAATACACGCCGGAATATATAATCATTTAAACCACAAAAGGGCACATTCTGCAAGACTGCCTCCTGGGCTCCAGCACAAGCCTTTCTCTTTCCATGAGTCTAGGGTCCTCAGCTGCTTTATCTCTCCATGTCCTCATCTCTGCCTCCATCTTTGGTGTAGCTGCTTCTCTGGTTAGAATCCCACATTCTACTCATGCTCTTCTCCCTTGATAGTTCTAGGGTCCTCTGTTCCTGGACTATTGCTCCCCCTATTTTGCCACACAACTTCTACCTTTACAATTGTGGCGATCGCAATTAGTCATGATAGCAATTACTCACTATTGAATCAAATGAATTCTATCCCCATCTCCTTTCACCAGACCCATCTAGACAAGATGTAAACTATTCAGTGGGGAGTCTACCTTTCCCCCTACACTTTGAAACTAAACTCCCTCTTGAAAACTTGTAAGTCAGCCACATTGTACCTTGATATGTGCCCCCCCCCCATTTTAGGTAGCCAATGTCTAAATTGTCCATCCCTATCAATCCCGTGTACAGAGGAGATAGGTTTGATCCTTAACGTGAAGACTCCTTCCCTCTCAGTTAGTACTGTGAGCTGCTACATCCATAAGTATAGGTCAAGTTCATCAAATTCATCAAAGCAATTTACACTTGCTTCCTATATCAAATTTCTTTATCTTCCTCTAGTCAAGTTCTGATCATCAAGCCATCTACGCTAGGTCAAATGGATACTATCTGCAAGTTTAGATGTTCTTGTGCATCTCCCCACACTTCATCTCAGCTGGACACTTTACTTTCAGATTTCCATGGCTAGGTCAGTGGCTAGGTCAAGAATTCCCAAGTCTCCCCAAACTTCAGACCAACCAGCCCTTCCTCTTCTCTTTCTCTTCTCAAGGTCAACAAGAGTCTATGGAACATGGTTGCACTCAGCCCTCATCTTCATTACTGACTTTCCCCCTCTTCTACTCATATGTAGACCAAAGAGGGTGTCAGCAAGCTTATATGACTGCTCATGTATTCCCTTTAGTTTCAGTCTTGTAGGGGGGTTTGTCCTGAAGGGACTTGGTTACTTGACTTGATGGTTCCCAGACGAACAGCTTGCTTGTTCTTCCAAAAGCAAAGCAGACGGCCATTCTTGTTTTCTCCTGCTGTTCTTTCTTTCAAGAAGTATCTTCTGTCCCTCTAGGTGCTCCAGGATGGTCTACATGTCCTTTTAAGTGGGACTGTCCCACCTC